ACAATTGTGTACAATATATTATATATATATGCACATATAAATATAAAGTATATATACATATATATATGCATATATACACATATTTCGTTATACAATACTATAACACATTGCGAAACGAAGGGGCGTTAAGTACGTACCATTTTGTAATTTACAACAGTTTGTTATACCTAAAAACCTTCCTACGTATGCGCATGTGTCGTGTATAAAATCTATTTAATGTACAGGAGGAGAGGGACACACTCCAAACAATGTTATCAAATATATGGAGTACGGACAATAATAATGGATCTATATATGCACGTTTAAAAGAAACACTTTGCGGAGTCTTATTAAAATATAAAATAAGCGATATGTATACAGATATACCGATTATTCTTAAAAAAACTATTACGTATCTAAATGTGTGTCACTTTTCTTTTTTCGTCGTTTCTCTTCTTTCAAAGATATTAAGAATTTAGACACACCAAGCGGATACGTCGTCGAACGGATTACAAAATGAAAAACATATTTTGAAGTAAGCTTCGACGTGGTTCACTTTAAACGGCACGTATAACTCATCCGAGAAATTCACTAAAAAACTTACATTACTAATGGAACACAAGGAGAACCATTCTGATCATATATAATATCCTTACATAATACGTTTCAAGCAACGTGTACATAGACACATTTTAAGGCTAATTATATATTCTTTATTCAACATTCAATCAGAGGTTCCTCTTTATCATGCTTTGGTTCGAAGACATAATGGAAAATAGGACATAATGGGCACACGCAAAGAAAGAGAGAGAGAGAGAGAGAGAGAGAGAGAGAGAGAGACGAGAAGAGATACACTTCTGGACACCTCAAACGTCTCAATGTTTGCCCGATTGTTTTTATTTAATCGCATATAGGAAGTGTACTCCCCCTTTATTTTATTCTAATTGTACGTAAGCATCTGCGACGCATTAATTTATATACTGTCACTGTCGAAGGAATTTAAAAGCATAATCTCTTTTTCTCGAAACATTAATATTAACAATATTCATTTATGAAGAAAGAAGTGCAGTGTGGATAAAAAACGTAGAAATTTTGATATTTACATGTTAATAAAGATTTCTAGAAGAAGAAATAAAGGCAAAGTATCAAGATATTATTAATAATACAAATGTTCTTGTAATAACACCGGACGATTGTCAGCACGCAATCGAGTATGAGATTCGTATTGCTTTCCTTAAGTGCTTTCTTTAAGTGCATTAATATAAGGAATTGAAAATTTATGCAGATATTTGTCGAACCACACATGTGTAGGGCTCTTTCATATAATGAAATCATATATCTTTCATATAATTTCATATAAAGTTTTACAGTACACACACGTGAAAATAATATTTAAAATTACCGTGACTCACAGCAGGGGCAGTAAAGTTATTAGTGCGCATGACATTTTGAAATATATAGCGGATTTTTACATCGGCGAAGAATATGCTGAAGATATATAGAAAGAAGGAATACGAGTAAAAGAAAGAGAAAATAGTCGCAAGTTCATCTGCTCCTTGAAATTGGTCCGATGTAAAGTGCACTGTTACGTACACAATGACACATTGCTAATACATACATAATAGTTACTAACAATACACTTAATAAATTAAAAACATTAGGAATATCGTTGCACAAGGAAAAACATAAGCCAAACGTAAAAACTAAGTATTACTGGTAAGTATACATTATTAGCCATTACGGATATATATCCGTTATTAATTCGTTATCTCTCTGATTCGATACATGCTGTTTGGTCGGAAACATTTCTCTATATCGCATATCGCTCTGGACTAGAATTGCGATGTAGCTAATGATGGACTGAAACAAGTGCTTTGAGTCATTATGAAAGTTTCGAATTATTTCGAATATTATTTAAAATAACAAGTTCTTGAAAGACTAGTGAAAAAATAACTTTAAAAGCCTCTTTAGTTTTAAAAATTTTGAAATATTTGCGTTTATTAAAAGTTTTTGTGATAAATGTATAAGGCATGTACGTAAAATATGTGTATATTTTTAAATTAAGAAAATAGTTGAAATTATTTGTATAAATCGTGATGTTAATTAATTTAAACAGTAATTCACAGTTATAATGTATTTTGTTTAAATATTGAAATATAAAATTAATTTTTCTCGCTATCAAACCACTTCTCAAGAATTCGTTTTAACGTTTTTTTTTAAGAATTTCAAGAGTTTTAAAGATTTCTTAAGACTAGTTCTTCAAGATATTGAAGATTTACTAAAACTTATAATTTTCAATAATATTCGAAATCATTCGAAATTTTACGCTACCTAAATTGTTTGAAAATTTGCAGGAAAGAGAAGTGAATGCCCATCGATATAATACGTGAATACATAATAATACATTGCTGGACACAATGACAGAACACCATGAAAAAACTAGGACATGAGTTTATATTAAATACATGACAATAAAAAAGTTCAAATTTGTAATCAATTTTTAACTGAAAAAGAAACAATAGGATTTTAAATACAAGACACTTTCTTGAAAAACATTCTAAATGAAAACAGAATTGTAATACTTTTTCTTGATTAATAATTATTATGAATAAAATATTATGGAATTATTATGAATAAATCTTTAAGTTACTTAGTTATCTTATAAGTAATACTTGTCAATGACTTGTCGCCCATGCGAAATAGTAAACTCTTAACTCGCTAACGTTATTGACTTACAAAGGCATTTATGAAAATTTACTAAAGTGTCTAATCGTTTTATCCAGCAGTGTAGATTGCGGATATACAACAAAATCTGTATCTTCGATTTTTCACAAATCTTTCTTCCTTTGAAAGCAGAAAGACGAAGATCCAGTGGCACAATAAGGCATACTACTGTTACAATATTTATCCGTAGGACATATTTCGATATATTGCCTTTAATGACGATAACATGAATTATACAACTATTGGAGAGTGTAAACTATTAATAGCAACTATTAATAGTAACAACATAAATTAATTAATTACTGGCTCGATCATCATATATACACATGCAAGCACATTCACGCTCATACATAAACGACACACGCAACATAGATAAATCTCATGATAGATACATACAGCAATGCGAATTGGACAGATTCTAACTTCAATACTTCACACTTAATTTAGCGAATGTAATCTAACACAAGTAAGTACTTATGCGTATTGAGTTTACTCAGTATGCGAATTAGCTCTTTTTTTGTTTTTTCTTTTTTTTTCTTTTGCGTGTAGAGTTTCTCGTGTCCAACAGTCGAGTCACTTTTGTTAATCCATTAAAATTTCTGTTTCACATATAGAGATACGTTGGTTGAATCATTTAAAATAAATTCAGTTTGATGCCTCGCGAATTCGATAATGATTATGATATTCTTTTATTTTTCTTGTAAGAGACTACAAGAAAGGAATGAAATACTCAGTCGAAAATAATATCACAGCCTGGAGATTCAGTGGAAGACTAAAGATATTATATTTCAAACAAACTGTTTTTCAATTATTAATGTTCTAAAGTATGAATTATTTTCAGATTGCGTGTTGAGATATCCATTGAATCAATTTAACTATTCACTTGAAAAATTCCACGAGATTTGATTAAGCTTGATTAATAAAAGAATAAGCCGTGCACGGAAAAAAAAATTAAGGTGATACAAGGTGTCAGTGTCATAAGTGAAGAATAATTGATAAAACTCCTATATAAATAATTGATTAACAATTCCTATGCTATCCTCACTTTGTTTTACTTTCATACTAGTCTCCCTTTTCTCCCTCACATGATTGTGATATTATTTAAAAAGTCCTGCCGCTTCATCGCGAGATTCAGTCATGTAAATACACGGCTTACTATAATAAAAAGTATCTTTACTTTTTTCAACCGATATAATTGTCAGAAGAGAGCGTGACAAAAACGGTCATAAAAAGTGACTAGCATTCGCACTTGTCCATACTATAATTGAATCGATTTTCGACTGGACTTTTATCACCATGATAGATGTATATCGTCATATATATAACGCGTCTTGTACACATGTAATAAAAATAAGTTGACGGATTCTCGTAATCAATCCTCAGATTACCATTATTTATCAGCAAGACACACTTGAATTTAACGTTGGCTTAAACACGCGGTTATCTTTTTATGCTAAAATTCATCTAATCTGATACATGCAAGTACAAAGTAATTAGAAAATGTTATGTCCCTTTCTTTTCATTTAACATTTATATGTAAGTTGCTATATATATTTTCTTTTAAATTACTTTGTACATGTACACGCGCAATGTACACATTTATTTTGCATCATTATATCCGCACATTTAAGTCAATTTTAAGGCTCCTTTAGATCCGGACTTTCTATGCATCTTTTGAGAGTACTCTATATCCGAAATAGAATGCATTTATATATGACTCTGGCATTTATCAATTTCTATTAAGAAAGAAGTATATACAATTCTTTTCAAAATTTACTTTTATTAGAAAATAATTACTTTTTAAAAAAATCTACTACGTGTGTAATATACTAACTTAATCGTAAATAATTTAAAATAATATTATAAACTAAAAAATTATTTCCACTATGTGCGTATGATGCATATTTGTGTATGTGTATGTGCATATTTATTCGCGAAATGCATATTTATATGATTGTCGCGAATCATAGACAAAATCTTGATTGTCTGAGTTGATATTTTATCAAGATATTACATTGTTAAATGGATGTATCAAAGAATATTGTACAATTCTGTTTGCATTCATTAAAAATGGCAATGTTACTTTCATTATCTCCAAGAGTGATATGCATATATATATAAGTATTTCATAGAAATCTTGCAAAAGATTCATGTCAATATTCAAATATTAATGTGTGGTTCATTTCTTTTGTAATCTATTTTTTTTTTGCCAGAGAGTAGCGTTAGAAGAGCATTCGATTTCGAATATTTTAGACTCCTATGTCTTATAAATGTAGCCGCTGATCTGTTAAAAAATGGATAATGCACGAATTATGTATGTGAGCATAGATTGAAAATACACTGAGATAAACTTGAATCATTCCGGGAATAAGTTAAATACTATAATAATGCTTGTATGTCCTAAACCTCAAAATGTTATTTTGCGGTCTTTCACTGGGGGCAATAATAAATAAAGATATTTATTTCGCAAACGATCGAGCATAACAAAATGCACTAATACTCTCTTTTTGATCCAATACAGTCTTAGAGAATAGTCATTAATACCGTGTTGCTACGTTAAACACGCGCATATAATCGAGCAGCCTACAGCTTTGTTCAATGTGTGTCGTAGGTATAAACTTGGTAACTATTATCGACGAATCTTAATCGGTATACGTCTAGGTGAACAGTCATACGAAATAGTTGACTCCGAAATGATACCCGAAACATGCGGGATGAGATTCAGAAATAGGTGGTACAAGTTCTTTTGTGCTTGTTATATATTATATGCTGTACGAAAGTGTCGCGTCCTTTAGTACAACAGTATGGCGACGTGGCTCTGCCCAGAAACAGTTCATCGAATGTCAGAGATGTTGGTTTTGCTGCCAAAAATTTTGACTAGTTGTTCTTCGTAATCGTCGATATTACGTTTCATAAGTTCCATACACGGGCCAAGTAAACGTTCGAAAGCTTCAACGTCCAAAACTGTAAGCGTAAGGATGGTTTCAGTAAATGAAATAATCATTTTAGAGAGAGAGAGAGAGAGAGAGAGAGAGAGAGAAACAAGCAAATTATTATTTGTATACATTCATTAAAATATGGCATCCTACATATAGAACATTTCAGAATCAATTTAATATACAGAGAGAGGGGGGGAGAGGGGGGAAGAGAGAGAGAGAGAGAGAGAGAGAGAGAGAAAGAGAGAAGATATCACGACTATCTCTCATCATTTAACAAGCCGAAGCTGCGACGAATATCGATATTCGCAATTACTCGGCACAATGTTATTGATTACCTATCAATTCAGGAAACGTGGGCAGTAATGAAATAAACTTACATGCCAGTTTGATGTCTCCCACAGCGTAGGCCGAAGCGGCGCGTGGTTTATGCGTCACGAGTGCCAGCTCGCCTAAATAACCGCCAGCCGGAACACGATTAATCTGTAGGATATTAAAGATCCCGAGTTAAGTAAGAAAATTTTCTTGGCGCTCACCGTCGACGTAATCGGATCGTTTTGCGGGAAATCGAATTAGCGTATAATATAAATGTACCTCAATTTCACGACCATGTTCGCCGAGTCTAGTGATTCTGACTAAGCCATCCTCGACGAAATACATTCCATCTGCGGTGTCGCCCTGCCTGATTATTTGCTCGCCATCGGAATATTGTTTCGGTACAAGGGCATCCGCTAAATTCATCCGCTCGTAAGGCTAGAAGAATTTAATACGATGCAAATCTCGTAGGAGTTGATATTTAAAAATTATTTCTTGTTTTTATTTAAATATTTTTTTTTAACTAGAAGAGGCGCTTTTAATAAAGAAGATATATAATATATATTTAATCTCAAAATAAAAACTCGAGAACTACTTAACACTTAAATTAAAAAAAAAAAAAAAATATTCAAAACTTTTAAAAATAATTATATAAATAGTTATATAATATTTACCTCCAGAGATTTTAACATCGGCACTTTATTAATAAGATTCTCATACATTTTACGCTTTTTGTACGCAGATTTAAGAAGAATACGTCGGAAAGTTTGCCTATCCATGGCCCAGAGGGTGCCAGACGTAATAGCTTTGACAGTGGCTGCTCTAGGCATATTGTACAGAAGAGCCAATTCTCCGAAAGCACCACGATTATCGTAAGTGTGAATATGATTCTCTGTTGCTGTAACGAGATCTTTGACGTACACCTCGAACTTTCCTCTGAAACACGAAATGCGACAAATGGAGACGATCGGAAATGGAACATAAAAGATTATAAGACAGTTATGTATATTTCTATTTTGTCTGGATGGTTTTAAATTCCGATAAAATGAACAATCAAAAAATAATTAGATTATTAAGCATTATTGTTTGAATATTTTCAGCTCTGAACAAAAGCACTGATCGACTGTGTGCATCCCCTCTTGGTTCACTGGATCTTCCCGCTGAAGGGAGAAGCCTATCGATACGTTAACTGTAATATATAAAGAAAAAGTATTACCTCTCGATCACATAAAAGTTGTCACCATCGTCGCCCTGCCGGATAATAAATTCTCCCGGTTGAACGATTTTTTCGAACATTGCGTCCAGTACGTCCGCCATTTGTTCCTGCAAAAGTAATTTTATTATACACGTTTAAATACGTTTTAGCGCAATATTATCGTCCGGGATTTAAAATATCGGCTTTAATATTGTAGTACGCAAGCAGGGGGGAGTAACGTTAATATCGCGGTGATAATCGATGTACGTGCTTCTACGTACATAAATACATTTATATACGTATATAAAGGTCTTTCATCATTATACATATTTCCTCTTAACGTAATTGATTCTTGGCCAACATAAAATCAATTTTTATTACGTGAAAATTTTTAAACCTTTCCTGTTTTTTCGTTGATTCTCAATTTGCAACGTTGGATAAATTGATGTGTGTAACTGTTGATCGAAAATAAAAATTAAAGATTATAAAACAAATTGAGAAATGAATATATTTATAAAAAAATATTAAATATATTTAAAAACACATTAAATAAATATATTAAAAAATAATATATTAAATACACATATATTAAAAATAAATAGAACATATTAAAGAGATAACTATAACGTTTAACATTATCTACTAGTCAAGTGACGACCAGTAATTTATATTTAAATGCGTCGCTAATGAAAGAACAATTATCTCAATTATGCGAATCGTTTTGCTGGCAAAACCGATTGCTTTTAATGAGAGATTATTCGTGATTTTCTTGGTATTTCGCCCAACTGGCGCAGATATATCAAGTCGCTGTTATACCAATCCTATTTGCGATCATGTTGAACGTACTATGTTTAACTTACCTCGTCTAGAGCGCGAAACAGGAGTATGTTCTTAACGCTTTCACTGAGCCTTTGTCGCTGCTCGTCGCTCTTTGGATGGACCATCTGAAATCAATAAGCCGTATGAAGACAAAATGAAGTTTGGGTAAAATGTAGCTATAGGCAAAACTTCTAAATTCCTTATTAAGGCGCCTGTATAATTGAGACATCGTCACTTTGTTGTCTCTACAGAGAAAATTTCTTCCTTTGATGAATAATTAGAAAACGGTTTGATGTAATTTGAATAAGTGAAAAAACTATCTGAAATATATAGCGTTTCGTTCATTCTCGTTTATGTGCATGTCCCATCTGCGATATTATTATCTAATAAATGAACATATATATGGAGTTATTGCGTTTAAATAGCGTTAAATTATATCGATATATTTACTATATTTAATAATTTTGGCTGCTTATTCTTAAATTAACTTCTACAAATTATGCAATAAGATCTTCCGAAATTCTCTGTAAAAGTTACAACGAGCAAATTCAATAGTTTAAGATTCTAGAACTGGAGATATTGCCCTTTATATTGAACGATGAACTTTGACCTCTCCCACGCTTCGCTCGCTATTATTTTAGAGATAGAATGTATAATCGTTTTTCAGATTTTAAAGATTATCAAGCTACGATTTTTCATAGAGCTCCTAGCAAATTTATTAATAATAAAAACGTCACAGGTCACATAAAAGTTACGCAACGAAGTCTCGCTATTTTTTAATATAATAATAGCGTAAAGTTCAGGATATTTAACGTCTATACGGTACCTTTAATGTCTAGAAGCGTTTACGAAGTGTATAATTACTATAATCGCTATACATTTTTCTACACAGGGAAACAGCCCTGGAGTTAAAAAGATTCCATTCTTCAAGAGAGAACTTGAACCTCACCGAAGCTGCTGTTAATGTTACGTTATTCGTTTAAACCTTAATTCTTCTGCTTGTAAAAAGCCGCGCCTCTGCCATTAAAATTATTCGCCTTTAAAACTTCTCACTCTCGTTGGCTCGTCTGCACGTTCGCTAGCGACCTGCGTCGTTATTGCGGCCAGCAATATCCCTCGTTTGCAGCAAGTGCATACGCGATAATCGGTCTATCCACAAGAGCGGCTGGTTCTTTTGTTTCGTTATCGTCACCAATTGTTACACACAGAAACGATCAATTTCGCAGGGAACCTACTCGTTCCCATTACCAACATATCCCATCTGCCGCACCATTGTGCAGCCGGGCCGCGTGTATCGTATATGATTAAAACTTTACCGAGGGTCAACCGTTTGTCGACGTTTGCCATTTGCAAAACTGTTATTTCATCGCATGTTCGGCGCGTTTATCCTTTCTATCGCGCATGGTGTTCTGTTTCTCGTCGCGCGCGCAATATATTTTAACGATAGAGCTTTCGATGCCGCAATTTAAAATCGATTTTTCCATCTTCGCAACCCTTCGGTGTTTTCGTGCATTTTTTTCAATTGCCCAAAGTTAAAAATTCTATTTTTTTAACTGAAGAATTTAGCCGAGTGTGGATTTTTTTTTTTTTTCCTATTTGGAGTCCTGAAGTTCGATTCGCGTAAAGCTCTTCTTTCTTGCTCGCAACGCGGATATTATAAGCGCATCTTTCGCCAAGGAATAATCAACTCCAAATTGACCGAGAAATTCACCGTTAAAGAAGAACGAGTGAATCTGATGTACCTTTTATCGTAAAACGGTTAAGAAGCTTCACATACGTCGAAGTTGTCTAGTCTCGGAGTCTCGGCCTTTCTAAAAATCGCGAGTGTCCCAGTTTTCTCTGCTATTGTTCTAGTTGTCGTGGCATACAGAGAGAAAATATGATCGGTCGGCCTGGCCTATAGGGAGAAAGAGAGAGAGATAGCCGATTTTCCTCTTCGTATAACCAGCCACTACGGAGTGATGATAATCGGATTCACCGGGGCTATCTTTGTGAAAATGCTCTCTCTCTCTCTCTCTCTCTCTCTCTCTCTCTCTCTCTCTCTCTCTCTCTCGTCGAGAACACGACCCCTCGCAAAACCCCTTACTACCCTACAAATACATACATCGTACACGCTCCTTTCTCCCTCATTCACGATACGTACACACGACGATGATGCTACATACATGTAAATCATGTCCGTGCCAGGTTATCGAACACGAGGCCTGACGTCACAAAGGTACATCGTCGACCTCGCATCGCCGAGCAAAGTAACTCTTCGTTCGCGTTTCGTCATTCGCGCGGCAGCAGGCCGCGCGCGCGCGAGAGAGAGAGAGAGAGAGAGAGAGAGAGAGAGAGAGAGAGAGAGAGAACGAGAGACTGTGCGCCAGCTATGCTTTAATAGACTGTGATGTATATTATGTACCTCGTGTATATACACACATATACACGTGCGGCGTATAACGACATTTCGTAACGAGAGGAAAGAAGAGAGAGAGAGAGAGAGAGAGAGAGAGAGAGAGAGAGAG